TACAGATACAGGGCTCGTTCTATATACAGGGATATCTAAAAACCTAAGAGGAATACCTCGAGGAATGATATCGAGACGAGGAAGATTTCCTCGAGGAGAGCTTTTCACGATATCGACTAAGCCGCCCTCCAAGAGCGCTTGGTCGTGCAGCTCCCAGTCGACAGAAGAAGCAGTGGCGAGAGGAGGAGAAGAATGGGAAGGCGGTGAAACCATCTTATAATCGGTTATCTCGACACAATCAGAGCTAGAACCCTCGTCGGCTGGACAAGTATAATCATTGATCTGCTGGCCAAGGGAGCCAGAAAGAGGAGACGAGTCGGAAGCTAAGGAAAGAAAAAGGAGGAGAAGGTCGAGGTTAGTAAAATCACGAGTAAGGGCCTACAAGATCGAATCAGAGCGATTCGTAATAATCGACAGAGGAAAAAAGGACAAAGAAGAGGCAATCACTACCTCTATGTCGACTTAAATAAACCAGTGAGTCGACCTTAGTCGACTCGAGAAGAGGAGAATTGAAGAAAGAGGACCACTAAGTCGACAAGAGCCGACTTAGTAACAGGAGAAAGTCGACTGCATATCAACAGTCGACTACTGGTAAAAAAGAAAAACAACAACAAATTCTAACAGAGCATATGCGTAAAGAGATCTAAGTGTGAAACCCATAAGAAATTCATGAAAAAAAAATGAAGAACACGCAGAGGCACTCTAGATCAGAGAAACCCAGAAAATCGCAAAGAATTGAAGAAAAAAAGAAGAGTAGCAAAAAGTACAAAGATCGTAATACTTACACATGATTGTCGCTGGAAGTCTTGAAGCTTGCGATTGCCGGAAAAGGGATTGCCGATGAAGCTCGGAAGTGCTTTATTGCCGGAGAGATTCGAAAGCTTGGAGTTGGAGAAAAGTGAAAAGTGATTTGGGACCGATGGAGGAAATATTTATACGGGATTCAGGAGGATCCCAGCCCTTAGATTCAATTGGAATCAACGGTTCAGATGAGTCGCAGAATTCGAGGCGGCGGACTTGAAAGTGATGTAATAATTACGAATTTGAAATTCAAAATTTGAAAAGGTGTCAGGTTGTCAGAATTATCCAGAAGATAATGATATCACCACAGCATCGAACAGCCATAAGGGTAGGACTTTGATGTCGAGAAGCAAAGAGCGAGTATAGTTAAACAAAAGAAGTCGATCACCAAATTTACTCTTAAACAGTCGACTGTTTAGAGTAATTTCCGGGGGGGACTAGATGATATAGCCATATAAGGATCAACCTGGTCTAAAAGGCTTCCTACTCGACCGGTGAGCCATTTGAACGACTTTGCATGTCAAGGTGACCCGTCGACTCCATCAAGTCGACTTCTCACAATCGACTTCTGCTAGTCGACCCCATAACTAGAAGGACATCAAGGTTGCAACCCAATCATCCAGATACTCTAAGTCGACTTCCACTAGTCGACTTCCGCATGACGACTCTCTAAGAGACGATCACCACAGGGAGTTGAACCAGGTGTAGCCTCCGAAACCGCGTATATTCTTAAGTCGACCTCCAAGTGTTCGAGGTCGACTCTGGGCATCTCGAGGATCAAAATGGTGAAGACGATTCATCACACTTGCAACATATCCGAAGCTCCACATACTATAAAAGATAAGAAGGAATCTTACGATGACTCAGCAACAAAGGGGAGACGAATCGACAGGGGTATTTTGGACCTTCTAGGTCCACCGACTTGGGCATTTTGGATACTTCACGTAAGTATTCGCTCCTATATAAAGGAGATGAGGTAACCCTAAACCCTAACTCTCATTCATTCCCACTCTCCCCCATAGCTGCTGCGCAGCCCCTCTTCATCACTCTCATACTGACTTGAGCGTCGGAGGCTCTACGCCGGAAACACCTCCGGCGTTGAGTTTTTGCAGGTATTCTTGCGGTCTAGCAACGGTTTCAAGGCGGTTCAAGCAGATCTGAGCTCACAACCACCGGTTTACTTCAGATCTAGAAGTAGACCCATCAATTTTCTTTTGTATGCTTGAATAAACGTGCATATTATTCCGGCTAACCTTCCTCGTGAGACATGACCCGGTGTTCGAATCTTTCGATTCTACTCCGGAAAAAAATATTTACAACAGTAATGATCAGAAGGCCGAAGCGTTTTGGTTACGTGTTGCAAAGTATTATAATGAAAATACACCTTCTGATTATATTTACAGAGATTTTAATATGATAAGATCTCACTGGCATAATACAATTCAAAAAAAGGTGTATCGGTTCAATGAGTGCTATAACAGTATTTACTGTGTGTATCGAAGTGGTTGTAGTGATGAGGATATATTAAGTCGGGCTTACGAAAAATATCGTAGTGAGAGTAATGGTGTAGCCTTCAATCTTGAGCATGTGTGGAGAATCCTAAAAGATCGTCTTATGTTCACTCCACAATTGTCTAATGATATTTTTGTTGAGAGAAAAAAAAACGAGGATTGATGAGTCTGGTGCCAGCAACACTTCATCAAAGGGGGATGCGAGCATTGATCTAGATAAACTTCATGAAGTGGCTCGCCCAATCGGACAAAAGGCAGCCAAATGAAAAGCCAAGGGCAAAGGAAAATCTAACCTTGATGAGATGACCACAGAATACAACAACATGGTTAAGCATCTTGCTGAGTTGACAAGCTTGAAAAAAGCTGAAGTTGAAGTTAAAAAAGCAACTCTTGAGGAAAAGAAGCAGAGGAATTGTCGAAAAGACTATGATATTTTAATGAGGGACACAAGCCGCATGACCCAAGAGTAACGTATTACTCATGAGAAAATGTGTCAAGTAATTCGAGAGAAATGGAACTTTTAGACTTTGCATTATATATTTTAATTATCCTTGTAATTTTGTACGTTGTGATTTGCAAAATTGAAATTTTAACCTGTATTTTATTTAAGTTGTTCTTGTTATTCAAAGCAAACTCACATGTTTCCTAGTCAAAACAAGGAAGCTTCCTCACAATTTCCCAGTCAAAGGAAGGGAGCTTCCTTACAATTTCTTGGTCAAAGAAAGGGAACTTCCTCGTAAGTTCCTAGTCAAAGGAAGGGAGCTTCCTCGTAAGATCCTGGTCAAATGAAGGGAGCTTCCTCGCAACTTCCTTGCAAGAAGCATTTGTTTGGCTATAAATACCTCATTTTTTATCTCATTCTAAGTGAAAGAAAAAGAAGAGTCGAGTTTAGAGAGTGAGTCTTTTATTGTTTTCACATTGGTGTGTTGTTGTTATTCCATCTTGTCCGATTCCATTTCCTAACAATTTACACACTTTAAATTCAATTAGAATCCTCACAAAATGTCTCAAAATTCATATAGATCCGAGTCTAATTCATCATCATCCACCGATAGTGAAGATGGTGATAACACTAACGATTTAGAAGTTGAAATGATTTCATCAATCGTTCAATGAAGCCACGAGTTACTTCAAGCATACCAACATGAAATTGAATTTCGTAGAAGAAGAAGGTTCATCCAGAGAAATCGAGAAGATGGGCATAACAGACTTGTAAGTGATTATTTCTCTGACCATCTTGTCTACCCGGATCATATATTTCGTAGGCGTTTCCGTATGCGAAGAGAATTATTCCTTCGAATTGTGAATGCACTTCAGACACAATCATCATATTTCCAGCAAAACTTTGATGCACCGGGAAGACAAAGTTTTTCACCACTTCAAAAATGCACAGCAACCATTCGTCAGTTGGCTTATGGAGTCCCAGCTGACCACCTTGATGAGTATTTACGTATGGGTGAGTCAACTGCTATCAAATGTCTTTTTAAATTTGTGAAAGTGTGGTTCAAATTTTCGGTGATGAATATTTGAGAAGACCGAATAGTAGCGATGTTCAAAGACTCCTCCAAATGCATGAAGAAAATCATGGTTTTCCGGGTATGCTTGGAAGCCTTGATTGTATGCATTGGGAATGGAAAAATTGTCCAGTTGCTTGGAAAGGCCAATTTACAAGAGGACATAGGTCTCCTACGATTGTCCTTTAAGCAGTTGCTTCACACGATTTGTGGATATGACATGCCTTTTTTGGTGTTGCAGGATCACGTAACGATATCAATGTATTGTATGAATCTCCTCTATTTAATAATGTGTTGCAAGGAAATGCACCAAACATTAATTTTACGGTCAACGACACGCAATATGCAAATGGGTATTATCTTACAGATGGAATATATCCAGAATGAGCTACGTTCGTAAAGTCTTTTCCTTGCCCGTCAGATCCTAAAAGAAAGTTATTTAAAGAAAAACAAGAAGCTGCTCAAAAGGATGTGGAAAGAACATTTGGGGTGCTTCAGTCTCGATGGGCAATTGTAAGAGGTCCTGCTCGATTTTGGTATAGAAGAAAACTGAAGTTTGTTATGTTGACATGCATTATTCTACACAATATGATTGTTGAAAAATGAAGGAGTTGTAGTAACAAATTGGCACAATGACGAGGATGAAGAGCCAGCACAACCTGTCCAGGGTTCAAATCGAGAATTACAAAATTATATCCGTAGAAGTTTAGAGATACGAGATAACACAGTTCATCATCAACTTCGTGCCGATTTAGTTGAGCATATTTAGACTCATTTTAGCCAGTAAAAAAATTATATTTTGTAATTGTACTATTTTTTCTTGTGTAATCTTAATTTAAGTTATTTTTGGTCTTGTAGTGTTCTTTTACTTTCATGCATTTAAAATTTATTATTATAATTTAAAAATATTAATTTTTTATTTTTATTGAGAATAGAATATTAAAATTTATATTGAATGAATGGATGAGCCTCATATTTGTATTTAAATGAATGTGTAGGGATGTGAGTGTGTGTTTAAATGGAGAGAGAAGATGATGTGGATGAGAGAAAGTGTAACTTTTTTATTGAATGAATGAGAAAAAAATTTATGGATGTGATAATTTATTTATTTATTTATTAATTAACATCATATAAATTCTCTCCCATAGAATCACTTCCTCACTTTACCCAATTTCTATTCCCTTCCCTCAAATCGAGCAGACGAACCATGGAACAGAACAACCTGCAGCAAGGCGCGGCCCCACCGCAGGCGGCCGCGGGGTACCCGCCGCAGCCCCCCTACCACCACCTCCTCGAACAGCAGCAGCATCATCTCCAGACGTTCTGGAATTTTCAGCGCCAGGAGATCGAGCAGGTGAACGATTTCAAAAATCACCAGCTCCCGCTGGCCCGCATCAAGAAGATCATGAAGGCCGACGAGGACGTGCGCATGATATCTGCAGAGGCCCCAATACTCTTCGCCAAGGCGTGCGAGCTCTTCATACTCGAGCTCACCATGAGATCGTGGCTCCACGCGGAGGAGAACAAGCGCCGCACGCTCCAGAAGAATGACATCGCCGCTGCTATCACGCGCACCGACATATTTGATTTTCTGGTTGATATTGTGCCGAGGGATGAAATCAAGGATGAGGTGGCGGCCCTCGAGGGGATCGTGGGCCCACCAGCGGCTGCAGCTGGGGTGACCGGCGTGCCCTACTATTACCCGCCCATGGGGCAGCCAATGATGGGCCGGCCAGCTGTGCCTGGGGTGGATCCAGGTGTTTACGCACAGGCTATGCCCCCTTCTCAGGCGTGGCAATCCGTGTGGCAGACCACCACAGAGGATGGCTCGTATGCTAGCGGTGGAGGGGCCAGCAGTGGGCATGGCAGCCTGGACGGACAAGGGTAATTCTTCTGTTTCACATTCTCGTGGCCTTTTGTAGTTTGTTTCTGCAGTTGAAAGATTGGAGATCAGTTAATTTCTGGGTGATTCTGCTATGATATTTGAGTTCGAATTACTACAACTAGATCTTGTCATGTTGATCACGGCCCTTCCATTATAGCTAGTTTTTACTATTAATTTAATTTAGAATTATTCTTGTGTATGTGATTTAGTTGTGTCTTTAATCTTGAGTTTCACCCTTTTGGTTGGCAAACTTACAAGTTGTCACTATTTTAGTATTGTTTACCGTTATCTGAAAAATCTTGTCTTTAGGTTTTCCAGAGAACAGAATTGTGTGCGCTCGGGTTTGTGTACTTTCTTTGTTTGTACTAAGAGTTCCTTCATTATTAGTTTAAGTGCATTGAACAAAGATGTCACTTTTCCGTGTTAGTTGCCAAAGAATGCTATTTTCTAAGGGCAAGTCTGTACTAGAATTTTGTGATTTTTGCAGCATTCGTACAAGAATAACCTTTACTTTCCCAGTTAGTATTTTCCTTATCTGGAGTTTCTCTGATGCCCTTCCATTTGCTCAGCAGAAATCCTACAATGATACTACTGTATCGCTCTATTTGTATAGCCTGGATTTCATTTCATAGAGTACACATGCCATGTGTAAACTTTTAAACGTTGAAAAAATAATGTTACCTTTCCTATGTTCTTACATCCAATATGTTGTGGACCAGAAATTTTAATTTGTCTTGTATTTGCCTTATATGAAGCTGGTTGTTAATTCAGGTAGCTATTTGGGCAAATTGGTTGTAAACTTGTTATGTTATGTTAGGGGATGTGTGGATCTTCTATGTGAGTTTCAATGTTTAAAATATGCATTGTGTTCTGAAACTGTTATCCTCATCTAGTCATCACATTCCTGCTTGTGTAATTATATTTGTGCCAAGCAAAAGTAGCTGAAATCTATTCAATGTCCTTCAGCTGAACTGACAACTTGGGATGAGTTGTCATTCAGAATGAGTTGTCATTCAGACTATCTTAACTCCAAGGTCATGTTAATCCAGCAGACTTCCCATCTAAGTAATAATAATTCTGGCTTCAAATCCATGATCTAAAGAAAGTTGGTTCAGATATAATGTCCTGTGTTTGCTAGGAAACTATTATAAAAGTTAGTATGAATTACTATTGTGCTAAGTGAAAGCTTGCCATACATGTGCCTCAAATTTAGTATGTTTTAGGTGCCTGCTAAATAATATGGTGGCAATTGAATATCAAAGCTTTTCATTTTTGTTTAGTTAGTTGAGATTTATCTCATTAAAATTGAGATGGAAACTAAAAACTTTCACAAAAAGTAAAAATCAGTCGACAATATATTATTTTTTTTAACAGAACACTATTCACTACTCACATGTTTCTTTGAATGCTTGCCATACATGTGCCTCAAATTTAGTATGTTTTAGGTGCCTGCTAAATAATATGGTGGCGATTGAATGTCAAAACTTTTCATTTTTGTTTAGTTAGTTGAGATTTATCTCATCAAAATTGAGATGGAAACTAAGGCTATGTTTGGTAAAACTAGCTGATAAGCTGATAAGCTAGCTTATAGCTGCTTATTGTTAATTTTTTAGCTTATAGCTTATAGCTTATGACTTATAGCTGAAAAGTTAGCTTATATGATAAAAGTGTTTGGTAAAATTAGCTGATAAGCTAGCTGGGATAAAAAAAATCAACTAACTTATTTGAAAAGCTACCTAAAGAAGCTTATCAAATAAGCTCGAGCTTTTTAAAAAAGCTCGTCCTATCAAACGAGACTTATTTGAATGCAGGAAGCTTATAAGCTAACCAAATAAGCTATAAGCTAGCTTATTTGTCTAACAAACATAGCCTAAAAACTTTCACAAAAAGTAAAAATCAGTCGACAATATATTATTTTTTTTAACAGAACACTATTCATTACTCACATGTTTCTTACTAGTATTTTATTATTATCATATCACATCAACTCTAACCTTATTTTTATCTTATATCCATTCACAATCTAAAAAATATGACAAATTTCCTAAAACCAACCTCTTCCACTTTTTCATCTTTATTTTCCTGACAAGACGAAAATTCTTCGTCAAAATTCTGTATCCAACCGCAGCCTATGTTTTAGGCCCAATGTATCGCTTTTGAGGCCGCAGTTTTAATTCCCTCTATAAAATTGGGAATTTAGTTACATTGTTGTACAATGTGTATCTTTTTGTCCCCAAGGCAGCATTTTTTATTCCATCCATAAAATGTAAAATTTAGTTACATTTGTCCTACAAACCATATCTTTTCTACCCCCAACTTATGATATGTATACACAAACACATGGTGGTTTCAATCTATGTTCGTATCTGTACAAAGTCAAACATAGGTTTATAAATGTTTGTGTACTTGAAACTTCAAATTGCTTACTCATGTATTGGTATAAGAATTAAACAGTATTAAAGGTTAATATCTCTGTAATGAGACAAAATCCTTGCCAATGTCAAACTGACATCACTCAAGAAAATGTTTTCTGTGCAGCTTTCTCCAAATACACTGAATCAACCATTTCCATATTAAAAAGAAAAAAAGAATGGCGAAGAAAAGCACTACTTCCGCAAAATCTTTTTTCGCCAATATAATGATATATTCTTTGTAAAGCATACACTTCTCTATCTCTTTTCCTATTTTCTCTTTGTTTTGAAGCCAGCTATTTCCTTATCAGCCCTATGCCACCCTAAGATGGTTTATTGATTGTTTCAGTCATTTTTGGTATATTTGTTCCCTTATCCACCAATCTGTTTGATAAAAGTGATGGAATGAGAGATATTATACAATCTGAATTTCATAAACAAAACACAAGTATCAGTACAAATGAATTATGTTTCTTTGGCTACCTTTTTCCTCTTGATCTGTCAAACTCTTGCTTACCAGTCGATACTTAACTTGGAGGCTGATGCCATGAGGATAAGAAAATGTTGGAATTGTTAACTCAGCTACAACGATTTCCTAGATTTACTTTATAGCAGAAGAGGGAAGGAACGAGCACAATATGTGACACTGTTCCAGTTAAACTTGATATTGTACGAATAATGGTTGGGAAATGAGAGAGGCATAGTCTAGTAAATTTGATGGTAATGTCTAATTCTGTACTTTCAAAAAATTCACTGACTAGATTGGAACCTGATTATGTGTTTATTACTAATGGGGAAGCTTTAGATGGTAATGGAGGGTGATCTGATTAGTTTAATGAAGTTCTATTACTTATGCATGCCAACATAGGTTGAGTCTCTTATTTGTGTAACTTATGCTGGGGAGTTAGTGTTGAAGTTTCTAAAGTCAGTTTAATTGCATTGATATAAATAGGATCTACTGGTATCAATGTGCTCTCTCTTGATTATTGCTAGTAGTTCACTTATCGACTTCTCATTATTGTTAGTCACTAACTTTCTTCCATAGAGAAGTTAATGAAATATGATACAATATAAATCCATAGGTGAGTAGAATGGGTTCCTCTATTTTATTCTATTCGGTCGTGCAAGTCATTATTTTCTTAACATGACTCGCATGTTTCCATTTTTATAGTAACATGTAGACTTCAGTTGCGTACTCTTGTTTTCTGCAGTTGAAAGAACCAGTAGCTGAATGAATTGAGAGGAGTTGCAAGAACGGGAAGTCAACCGACTCATGGATGACTCCCATATTTTTTCTTTTTTCTTTTTGGTTCTTTTGTGTCGACAGTGAATTGGATTCATTGAGCATATCTATGAATCTTGTTCTTGCTGTTGTTGACTTCTGAAAATGAATGTAAAACTACATTTCATTTGGGTGCTAAAATTTGTCACATTATTCACATGCAGATCAGATTTCGCGTGCAACGACACACTGATCTTAACTATAACTGTTTTTCCTCTTAGACATTGAAACTTGTGAGTTTGACTTATGTTTTCTCTCTCATATTGTAAGCTTTTTTGTGCATAGCTGAATTGTACCTGGTCCAGGTCAGCCATAAGCCTATATAAATCATTAAGAGCTCTTTTGCTTCATGGGATAGGATTGAATTTAATTAATACAGGGTGGATGGATTCTACCGAGGATCAAATAAGACTCGTGTTTATTATTCATGATTAGTAGTTTGGATAGAATAGGGTTGATCTCCTAAAACGTTTGTTTATCTTGATAGCTCACCGGGTGAAATGTACAATATTTATTAATCCGGTTGAAGTGGCGATGGTGGGGTGGAAGTTGCAATTTTGATTTTTTGTCCATTGCATCTGCAAGGCTATTTAAGTTGGAAGCATTGAAAATATTATAATTAGGTAGTCATTCCAAATGGGGGTAAATTGTTTATCCACAATATACATGACTCTATCCCATTTAGTCACCAAATCCTAGGGGCAGCAATCAATGCTAGCAACATGATAATGTCGGGATAAACCCATAAATCCTATCACATCCACTCAAAAAAATAGGCCTAACTGTTTACTTATTTGCGAAAGCGATTTGGCTCTAACAGCATATGTAGCTAGANAAAAAAAAAAAAAAATGAGGAAATTACCTGGTCCACTACACAATAGTCTTTTTATTAGACATTTGTAATTCATATATATTTATTTGCAAAATAGCTAAAATTATCACTTTTATTTGCAAACATACTAGAATGTTAGTTTAATTATAATTTTTATTTTATTTATGAAAATAGCGGGTTTAATGAGAAGTTGATTTGTCTACCAAAATTGATTACTATCAATGTGTAAATACCTCCAACGATTAGACTCACCAGAATGAATACAAGAATCTCTACTACAAGAAGACAGACTAAATCAGTAAAACACAAAATTACACCACAATGAGAAGCTAATGCCACACGAACGTAACTGAAATTCCAGCGGTAGTAATAAGGGAGCATCCGAAAAGAAGAACTTTGTCCTCCACGTTGTAGCCAAACACTAACAATTTCGCAACAATAAACATAAACAGGAAAAATCAAACGAAACCTAGAAAACCCTAACCAACATTGCAAGCAACCTGACACAACATCACACTGAGAGCAGTCAACAATCACCAAAACAAGAGCTACAGACTCGCGCACAGAATGTCGTGCTAGTGAATTTTACCGTCCATGAAGAAGCAAGATTTTCCTAGGTGTGAAGGAGTTCGAGACACGGTGGATTGGTTGTGATAGCATATTATTTTTTCCTCATTTGTTTCTTGTTTGCTCAACTAAAATTCCGTTTATACTGTATTTATAACATGTAACTATTTATATGACATATAACGATACATAAATACATTTTTCGTCTCTGTAATATTAAACCTAAGTTGACCGTAAGCTTGTGCATAAGAAGCTTCAATTCGATAAAGGTGGGACCACAAAATTGCACTGCAAAGGTGGGAAAGAAAATCGGTGCAAACACTTCCTACAACATCCACGAAATTCCCTCCGTCAATTACGGGATTGAATGGGGATGTATATTGCGTTCCTAGTGAGGAAACTGATTATGTATATTATCAATTATTTGTTGGATATTGGGTAAAGATGCTAATAAGATTACATGTAAGATTTGTGCAAATAATTACAAAAGATGTGGTTGGTTTGNCAAAAAAGAAAAAAAAAAAAAAATGTAATCACCCAATATCTCAATTCATTGCAATTGGGTATATATCAAATGTAATTCTATTCAATTCACATTTCTCAATAACCCACTCACTTTTCAATACAATTTTTAAATTAAAATTCAATTGTTACTACATATTTGTTATCTATTATAATTACTATTCATCCACTCATACACTTGTAACCATCAACCATCATTTTATTATTTCTCTATCACATCACAATTAACTATTGTTTAAAAAGAAAGAATATTTGAATGGAAGTGGGTTTAGTTGGATACATATATATATATACAGGGGTGGATCAATGAGACCACTCCTTAAAATGAGTACGTAAGACTCAATTTTACCTATTCATTTTGTCCAGATCAATGATTCACATTAATCAATTAAAATTCATATTAATTAAATAATAAAAAATATTAATTATTATACTTAAATTAAATATATAATAAAAAAATATAATTATGTTGACCGACGTTGGCCGTCGGCCGGCTAGCCATTGATCGATGTTGACCGCTGGTTGCCGGCCATTGACCGGAGTTGACCGCCGGTTAGAGGCAAATAGAATTCCGGCGACCCAGTTTTCCGACGACCCCGTTTTCCGGCAACCTTCAGCCCGACGAATTCAGTGAAGCCTCAGTTCAGCCCGTCGCAGAGCCACCCGCCATAGCTACCGTCGACCCCAGCCATGATCGCCATCGGCCTCCAAGCGTCCTCCAATTCATCCCGCCGGAGTCGCGCGCCGCCAGGGATGAGGCTGAGCAGGTGAAGTTCGTCGGCCGCAAACATCCTGTTCGCGACCGTGCGAAAATTAGATCCGAGTGAAAATCCGATCCGGGCGAAAATCCGATCAGTGCGAAAATGATAATATCTTGAAGCATGTCAGGATCTGCATATATTTTGTTGCTTGTAATAAACAACACAGCCAGTATTAATACAAAAGCTCCACAAACATGAGCAGCCATAGCCATGGTAGAAAAAGAACACTAGAAATTAATTGGGAAAAATATCGAAAGCGTGTAAAATGAGCTCGGTTTAATAATGAATGGGTGGGTGGATGATTTAATAAAAAGCCTGCTACGAGAAAAGAGTGGGTGAACTTTGTAGGGAACAAAACAAGACAATAAATAAAATAATGAATGAATTTACTTAAACGGGTAGCGATGGGGACCTTTCGTGCTTTGCACGTGACTGGAAACATTGCATTCTTTTATAATGTTTTACTGCTAATTAATAATAATGGTTTAACAAAATAGTGTATCAAAATAGTGTAACAAATAAAATATTTTTGTTGCTACTATAAATATCAAAATATGCATATTTAGTTCATTCAAAATGCATATATATTTCATTCATAGTGCATATTTATTATATTTACATTAAATATATAATAATGCATATTTAGTTAATACGAAATGCATATTTAGTTAATTCATAGTTCATATTTATTATATTTGAATCAAATATTTAGATGTGCATATATAGTTTATTCATAATGCATATTTAGTTCATTAATGCTGCTTATTTAGTTCATACGAAATGCACATTTAGTCCATCCATAGAGCATATTTTTATATTTAAATTAAATATATAATCATGCTTAGTTAGTTAATAGATGATGCATACTTAGTTAAGACGTAATACATATTTAGTTCATCCATAGTGCATATTTTTTATAATTAAATTAAATATTTACATGTGCATATTTAGTTTATTCATGATGCATATTTAGTTCATTGATGATGCATATTTAGTTCATTGATGATGCACATTTAGTTAATACGAAATGCATCTTTAGTTCATCCATAGTGCATATTTATTATATTTAAATTTAATATATAATGATGCATATTTATTAATATATGATGCATACTTAGAAAATACGAAATGCATATTTATTATATTTAAATTAAATATATATCTATATACATGATTCATATTTAGTTCATTCACGATGCATATTTAGTTAACTAATGATGTATATTTAGCTAATACGAAATGCATATTTAGTATATTTAATTAAATATATAACGATGCATATTTAATTCATTCATGATGCATATTTTGTTCATTGATTATGCATATTTAGTTAGTACGAAATGCGTATTTGTTATTTAAATTAAATATATAAGTGATATATATTTAGTTCATTGATAATGCATATTTAGTTCATTCATGATGGATATTTAGTTCACACAACATGCATATTTAGTTCATCCATTGTGCATATTTGTTATATTTAAATTAACATATTTAGTTCATCCATTGTGCATATTTGTTATATTTAAATTAAATATATACATGATGAATATTTAGTTTATTCATGATGCATATTTAATTAATAATGCATATGTAGTTCATAGATGATGCATATTTAGTTAATACGACATGCATAGTTGTTATGTTTAAATTAAGTATATAATGATGCGCATATTTAGTTATTACAAAATGCTTAATAGTGCATATTTGTTATACTTAAATTAAATATTTAATGATGATATTTTATCATTTATAATGTCTATTTGTTATATTTGAATGAAATTTTAATGATGCATATCTAATTCATTCATGATGCATATTTAGTTCATACGAAATGTATATTTAATTCATCCATAATGCATATTTGTTATATTTAAATATGAAATGTATAATGATGCATATTTAGTTAATTTATGCGTATTTGTTAAATTAAATATGCACGTCATATGAACTAAATGTGCATTTATTTGAATTAAATGTGCACTTAAAATATTGATAATATATTAATTGAGGAGCAAAAAGAAATTCAATAGGACTATTGTGCCAGCCCATCAAAGCCCACACAAATAGCCAAAGCATTAAATCACTTTAGGGTGAAATTGTCATTTTATGGAAAAATGTCATCTTCTTCCATCAACACCAACGCTAGCAGACCTCCCCGACATCTTCATCCATGAGCTCTGCTTGACCGGTGCTCCACAATAGGCCACCTCTCCAACGTCCTGAATATCAGAAAATCGTTCGGCCGTCATCATGATCACCAAGAAGTCGCCAACCATCGAGCTGGCCGCCAAAAAATGGTCGGAGCTCCGCGTACGTCTGCCACAGCCGGCCTCTTCGAAGCCAAGTCCAACCAACTAGAGAGTCCTGGACATCAAAAAATTGTCAGGAACGTCTTGCCGCCGTGAAAACCGGAAAAGACAAAGTTGGCCATGACCGCCGGAAATTCGAAGCTCAAGCTGTCTGCCATGGCAGACGTCCTGGACGCTACTTCCGACCACCTGGAGATTCCTGGGACATTGAAAAAGTTTCAGAAGCTTCTTGCTGCCGTGAAAACTAGAGAAGATGAAGTTGGCCATGACTGTCGGAAAATGGTCGGAGCTTACGCTTTTCGCCGGAAAAACCGAAGTCGCCGGACTGAGGCGCCAGGCTGGAATCGTTGGGCCGTCCTTGAACAGCCGTGGAGGCTCGAACTGCGGGCTGACCATAGTGAGGAGCCGGAAAAATGGTGTCGCCGGCAAAAAGGGTTGCCAAAAAAATAGGATATGGGTAGCCGGACTGGATGTCGTCGGCGGCCGTCGGCGGGTTTCCGGAAAATGGGGTCTCCGGAAAATTGTGTCGCCGGAAAAATGAGGTCGCCGATGACCAGCTGCCGGAATATTTATGTTATATTTAATTTATTTATGATATAATTAATTTTAATATAATATTAATTTATATTTAAATAAAATAATAATAATTTATTATGATTTAATTAATGTATTTTTTATATGATTAATATGTGTCATTGAGTCTCACGTGCACACTTTAAATAAGTGTACTCATTGGATCCAATCCCTATATATATATATATATATATATATATATATAATTGCTGACTCATTAGCATTTAATAAAACCTATTAAATTATACCTATGTGGCAATATAACTTTTTCCCTTAAAAAACCGTTACTTTTTATTTATTTAACCTCTCATTTAATTATTAGATAATCAACACACTAATCACTTCAAAATTACAAAAATTATTTTAAACTTTTGATTTACTTACAGCTAATCATATAATGTGTTGACTATTTAACGTGATTAGATGTCATTGTTGTAGTTACATTTAAATTAACTTCTTTTGAAAAATAAAAAACGTATTTGAAATTTCTTAATAAATAATAAATAATTCACAAAAAAATACATATCAAAATATACATTACATCCAATATGATAAACGCAATTTAAAAAAATAAATATTCCCGCTCCTTTAATTGTAAATTTGGCCTGTAAAAAAGTGCAATAAAAATCATTAATCATTATATGCATACAAATAACTCACAATATATACCTTATTTATATCCAGGGGTGGATCTATGTGTTGTTTAGAGGGGGCCATTGTCGCTCCAAGATTTGTAAGTTCTAGTATATATATATATATATATATATATATGATAAGTATATCATTTTTCATATAAACTCACACAATTATATTAAAATAGTAATTGTATTACTCAGTCTACTAATAATTCAACTACAATTATACTTTTTTTACACTTTTGTATAACATTTTTTTCTAATTTAGATAAATTGAATGTATAGTATATATGTGAAAAAAATAGAAATTGGTAATTTTTGAAAAAGAAAACCATATAAGAATTAAGATATGCTTAATGGAAAGAAAAAATATCAAACTATTAGTATTGAGTCAATCATTAATAAAATTCATGAGTTGAGAGAGCGTTCAATGTAAATCTGTTAATGTCAAAATTTGAAACTTTATCATTTATATTGCACCATTATTATGTATAATTTTACAATACAACTTTTTATTTTTTATGTACATTAAATTAAATTTATGATTATTGAAAAATATATAGTCCCAAAAAAAAAATTCTGGATCCGCCCTTGTTTATATCTGTACATTTGAACAGGTCAAATACTAGTTCAATTGACAAGATATCAAACTCTATAGTGCAAAAACCAGCGTGCTTGCATATACATAATAACAAACACACGAAGCGTAAGGAAATTCTTAAGTCGTCTTATTGCTATTATTATTCTTAAAACTCACCAGTTATCTTAAGAGCATGGATAAATGTTTTTCTCAAGGCAATTTGTATGCTTATTTTTGGCCAAATGTGGGCGCATTAGTTACTCCAACTACTTGAAAAATCATGAAAGATTTAGTTTTGAAAATGAGTTAAAAAATAATATATTGAAGATATAATCTTGGAAGCAAAAGGAAATTAAAAGGGAAGATTATCTTTATTTGGTTATAAGTGTGCAATGTCAATTTATATGTATATATTATGAGATATTGTATGATCTTATTTATATTTCGTAGGAAAATCGAACGTGTGCATGGAAGTGGCGATCAACATGTTTGGAAACAAATTGAAGGGCGAGAGGAAGCTTGTTCAAGACCAAATATTCACTTACTATACTTTGGAATCTTTGCCTTGAAGGAAGTTAATCTCAAATGAAAATGAATAACTACTTGGAGAAACTATATAACCTCGTCTTGAAGATCAATTGAAGGCTGCTGAGAATTTTAGAGTTCATCATTATTTGAGCATTCAATTGAGAGTTCAAGAATTTGTGTTCTTAGATTTTCTTTTGATATTCAGTACTTGTTCTTATACCATCGGAGAATCGAGTTTGTTTTCTTATTTGTTTCGTATTTTCTTTCGGACACTTTGTTATAGTACTTAGGGAATAAGTACTGGTTTGCTAGAGGGATTCGAGTTTATAAAGCCCACGGGTTGTAGCCAGAGAAGTAATTAGTAGGATCGAGTATAGTGTTGGCAAGGCTAGAAGGGAGTTCTAGTTGCATAAGTGTTGGTAATATTTTTTGGGCAAGTAATAACCGAGTTACCCGACTCGGGTCGTTCTCTAAGGAAGGTTAGCCGGATTAAATTGTATGTTTATTCAATTCACAAAAGAGAAAATATTCCTAAACATTCTAATTCAATTTAATAATGGGGTTTTAAACAAAATTAAAAGTAACATAAATGCTATCATTTTACTCGGGAAACCTTTCAAATGATAAAGTCGTTTTACTAGTAAATACTTTCTAACGATAAAATCATTTTACTCGTAAATACTTTCAAACTAAAATGACGTTCTTCTCGTAACAACTTTCAAACAAATAAATTGTTCTACTAGTTAAATACTTTTCAAACTATAATTTGTTCTACTAGTAAATACTTTCAAACAAATAAATTGTTCTACTAGTTAAATACTTTCAAACTATAAGTTGTTCTACTAGTAAAAACTTTCAAACAAATAAATTGTTCTACTAGTTAAATACTTTCAAACTATAAAGTTTTAAGGAAGAAAAGAGAATAACTAAAATGACAAAGATAAGTTTTACTAAATATAAAAGTCTAGGGTATTGGGGATAATCAATTCCGGTTTTATTAACATTTATCGGTAATTAAACTACTCAATTAAACGATTCACTTAATTTACTCATCTAGATGTTTATCCGTACTAACTCTCGTAATATACGAATAAACTTAAATAAATGAATTAGTGGAACGTTTAACACATAAACAATACGTTTCCGAACATGTCTATTCTAAACAAATCAAGTTCTATCAACTTCGCCCCTTTCGGTTATGAAATCGATTATGTAGATTAAAATGGTGATCAAACATTTAACCATAATATTAATAAAATTTGTAAAGATTGAGCAATAAAAATACTTATAAACGATAATAAACCGAAATGATTATCCCCTAACCCTAGTTAGGAAATTAGTTACTCATAGTAATTTTAGCATACAAATTCTTATGTAAATAAATCATTATAAACATAAAATAAAAAGAAAACTTACTAGTAATCCACAAGCTAGAGCAAGTGCAAACTTAATGTCCAAACTTCAACAATCTTCAACAATTTAATCTTACAAATTCAAACTTACGAATGTAGTAAAAATAGAAATGTGGAAAGATAAAATGGTATGGAAAAATTTTCCTCCCCCTTTTGTTTGATGATTATGTTGCTATTTATAGATATAAATAGCATACTAACATCAACTAACATCAACCAAAGTTCAACAATAATTCAACCACCAAGAAAAATGCAAGAAAAGGTGAGAGAAGATAGGAAAAATGAGAGAAAGGTTGGAATTTTCGGACAAAATCCGAGAGTGAATTTTTCCGCGCGCATTCGCGCACGTCTCGGGCAACTCTGCTTCTCGGGCTTGTTTTGGGCTCGTCCGAACTCAGAATTGAGTTCCGTTTTTTTCTACGCGTCGCTAACAAGCCCCTCTATTCAATGATGTATGCCAATACAAATTTCTCCTAGAATACAATTATCTAGAGATTTTTAACTTCCAATGTGTCGGCAACTCGCTCGATTTTACTCTTCGGTTCCGTACGAACTCATCCGAACTCGAAATCGAGTTCCGCTTTTTCCTGTGTGTAGCTAACGAGCTCCTCTTTCCATTAATGTGATCATGGTCAATAACTTTCCAAAATCCTGCTCTTCCGAGATTTTCGACCGTTCCTTTATTTTACAAATACTCAAAAAAAATACAAGAAAAATATACAAAATTCCACACAAATACTTAAATATTACAAATTACTAAATAAAACTAAAAACTACCCAAAATCCCACAAACTTACTAAAAATACATAAAAATAATAATAAAAAATATTAATAAAAACATAACAAAAATAACACTAACAACTCCCCCACACTTAATTCTTTGTTCGTCCCGAACAAAGATAAAAACTTAAACAAAACAATTCAAACAATTTTTATTTTTTTAATTTTTTTTTCTGTTTTTTTTTTATTTTTTTTTATTTTTCATTTTTTTATATACTTTTTTTTTTCATTTTTTTTCTGATTTTTCGTGCTTACGTGAAAACATGGTTAACCACATATTCACGTAAAACTCCCCCACACTTAAAATCATACAATGTCCCCATTGTCGATTCGCGGTGCAAGAGAGTATAACTAACCGACTGAAAATAAAACAAATTGTACAAAATAAAAGAGAAAAAGAAAGAAAAACGTACTAAGCACAGTGATAAATAACTGTGCGTCCGGTGGTTCTGATGGAGGATGGATGCAGGCTTCAAACCTTTAAGCTCGAACTGTCGATAAACAAATAGTGGCATGAGATTTATGCCCGCTCCAAGATCGAGCATTCCCAAAGCCTCTTTCTCATTCCCGAAGGCAATGTTGATCACGAAGCCTCCGGGATCTATTTCTTTCTTTGGCAAGAGATGATGCAAAACACTCTCTGCCTCACAGATTATCACATCCCCGTCACTGTCGGACCTTTTCTTGTTCGTGGCAACTTCCTTGAAGAATCGTGCATGGGCCGTATTTTCTTCAACACATCACGATGATTCGGGATCTCCATTTTTTTTTTTATTTATAATAATATATACAAAAGTGCTCGGTTTATTGCCTAGAGCTCGGCATTGTAACGATCAATCGTACTGTGGTTCGCCGAGATTGACGGTCTCGACATGCTTCTTCCCGATT